ACACATGCGGACCTTAACCAAGGTTCCCCCAACACTGCATTCGTTAGAATTGGCCTTCCCATTGAGTCTGTGGCACACTCACCCAGGGTAGTGGTCGACCCTTTTGGTGTTCAGCCTGAGGTAGAATTTGAACTCGGGTCTACCGATCATGAGTCTGATGCGACAATCATTATGATACCAGTGACCGGTAAATTGGTATACGTTAACACGGATGTAAAAGAAGTAAGTAAAAGTTACATTCCAGTGAGTAAAAGAACTAATGTTTCGTTGCATCTTGTATTTAATTGGCTGTAAAAGAGCTGGTGGAGACAACTTAACACTTACTGCCGTCAATTACTGAGATACAAAGGGTGACAGCTGTCTGGCTCAAGGTGTTGATGGGCCGGTCTGCCTTTGATATAGCTCTATAAAAGTCACTACAGTGAGTTGAATCCATGTGGGCATTGAAGCTGTGATGTTTTTCAATAAAGAAAACTTACTACGAACACACGTGTGTATATGTGCTATTTATCTGTTTTCAACGCCTGAACCTCCCCTCACAAACCTTGATATGTCGCGTTTTATATTTGGATCCCGACACCCGCGATTTAGCAAGGGTGCATAGAAATTGCATAGAAATGAACAATACAGCTATTCCGGCCACCAGGCCATCATTCAAATCATCAGTCTTCATGATTGATTTAACTGCTATTTCCATTCATTTGGTTGGTTGTCTGAGACTGAATGTTGTCAAGTTAGAGAGTGTGTTTGTACGTACGGCAACGTCAACATTATCGAATACATCACAGTCCCTCAACACTGTGATTACATTAAAGACGCATTGAAAAGGAAGTCCATTTTGGGCTAGTGTCATTGTCAAATTGTGGAGTATATCATGATTTATATTTCAGTCAGTTTGACAGTGGTTGCCATGACATATACTGATAAAGGTTAATGACAAGACCAGATGGCGAGCTGGTCGAAATCAACCAAAAACATCTTATGACTCTGCAGTTTTTAAGATATAATACAGTAGCTGTAATTCTAAACCAATGTTGTTTGCGATTTTAACTAAGGTGGTATCTTTGTGGAATGTTAGTGCGAGACTATTACCCCATCAATATTAGTTAGTGTTGACAATATATAGAAGTGTTTTTTCTAGACAGCTTGACGAGTAATTAATTGATTATGATGTGTAAAACTTTCATGTGATTGGTTGTTTGTTTGAAGGCAAGGCCTTGGAGTCTCTTATACTGATTGTAATTGGTTAAGGAGTGACAAGACATTCCGGTACGGAGTTGTTCGATTTGCATACCAAAATCCTTTATTTGAATAGAACATGTTCCATATATTCACCAAAATAACAACGTTGCCATGTTTCTGGGCATAGAACGAAATTGAAACAAAAAAATCGTTCGATCCAAACGACCTGCGTCCTTGGAAATCAAGTCTTACGGCCCTTGTGTTTCTGAGGGAAAATACCAGTGAAGATTCCCGGAGAACAAATATTAATACTGTAATTCACTTTGTTGCGGGAATAGGTGACAAAAGTCAAAACAGATTTGAGGGAATCCGAAAACGTAACTTACTGCACGTGAATTTTAAGTTTTTAACGTTCTGGTTATCTCTGTACGTGCGACTACAGTCTTTGAAACAAAATTGAGGGACTCAATGTATGGCACGACAAAAACACAATGTAATGCAAGTAATGCAATGTCACGACGAATGTTCGCCAATTCTTCCATGTTTATTTGACGATATGAATGATTCGGCCCAGCGCTTAGATAGGTTATTTATTAGAGGCGCCCGTATTAGCGTGAATGGCTTTCTGAGCGGAAATGGTCGAGGTCAAACAAAAGAAAAGATTCGCCGAATCATCCATTTTGTGTGACATTTCGTTGATTCAGCCCAGCGGTAATATAGCTTATTTATTATAAAAATCGTTTTTATGCTACGAAAAAGTGAAGACCTTGAACGTACTTTATTTTTGTTTTGATTGCGTAACGCGTTTAGGTTCATGTGCTGCAAGTTACAGGGCACATACCTAAGCGGACGTCCCTCAGCAAATAATTAAGCCAAGGCATTTTCCGTATCACAATCACGAAACTATCCGTTTTTACGCAATCTGGGAAGTTCGAATTACTAAACGAAGTACAGGGCGACGAAGCTGAAATATCCAAGAACCAACACATACCAACAATTATATCTCAAAAGTGAATATTCGTGGTGTATTTTAAGTCTAACCGGACCGGAAGTGGAAATTTGAACTGTAGAGCTAAGAATAATCATCAACATTGGATTCTAAACGTTTGCCAACAAAAAGACATAATCAAAATATTAAAAATAATTACCACGGTTACCATATAGGAAGATATGTCACCATGTTACAATCGAGCAAGTGATTTAACAGTTGTTTCTAAAAAGTGTTATAATGGCCTCTGTATAGGGACTGATGTCACAGTGGTTGTTCGAAAGAAGTGATGTTACCATGCACTGTCCGTACGTAGACAACAATTATGTCTCGGATTCATCTTTGGTTACAGCTGAATAATTCTTTTATAGCGGGCGCAAACAAGATTCGTAAGTGGAATTGACAAACTCCAAGGCCCTATCACATTTTCTAATGTTATGAAAACAATTTGGTACATTTTCTGACAATCTCACTCCTCCTGGCACCACTTGATTTTAAACTAAGTTGTGTGTATCTAGACACATACTATAACTAAGTTGTTGTCTGTTTTTATTTATAGTAAATCTATGGCACGGAATATACACAATAAACGTTTTGCTTGTTTACATATCATATCATTATTATATTAAAATATATTGTGCCTAATAGGCGTCATATTAATGATGTTACATTTGTTAACATATTTGCATATGCATTGTTTCCC